GTGTTTGTGAGCCATTAGAGGTGTGACACTTGTGACACTAAGCTTTCAGAAGCCAATTACAAGAAGGAATAGATTGTTATTGCTACATAACAATCAAAGGTAAGATCTAAACCCTAATTTATATGTTAAATTATTTATTGTATGCTAGATCTAGGGTTTATGGCTTTGGATGATTATTGCATGTTCATTAGACAAACTAGATCCAAAGCTTTAGGATTTGCATGTACACCATAAGAATGATGTAGTGCTCAATTCCCATCAGTATTTTCAATTTTAACCCTAATTATGAAGAGTTATTGCATTTTAGCCCTTGTGCATGAGAAAGCTTGCAAAATGGCCCATAGTGGCATTTTTGTAATTTTGGGGCGAGCTCACATACGCTAGGCATACCTAGCATACGCGGGGCGTACGTGTCTGATTTATAAACCCTAATTTTGAGGGTTTGGACCTTATTTAAACATCCTTAAGTCCCCAACCTACCTTCTTTCATCAGCCTCCAACTCACCTTCGTCCCTAAATAAAACCTAATCCACTTTTAAGCACCCTTGAGCTTTGTATGTGTGTTTTGGCTACTTTCAAGGTGAGAGGAAGAAGAGAAGATCATCTTGGAGAAGTATGACTCTTTGGATCCAAAATCTCATCACCATTTGGCATCATTTGGAGGTAAAAAGCTTTGAACTTGGTGAAGCTATGCATAGATCTAAGTTAGCCATGAAGTTTGTGTCCCTTTGGTCCCGTTAGTTGGGTACTTTGAGTATGAGATACTCCAATCCATTTAAGTTGTCATTTCAGACGTTTTGAGGTGTTTAGAAGCATACAAATGTTGTCTTAATGGGTTAATGAGTTACAAGGTCTTAATGGGTTAAGTGGCTAGGGTTTTTAATGTTAAGCACTTATTAGCCATGTAATGCCATAAAGTTGGAAAGCCTATGGTCAAGGACGACATTTGGGGGTTGGATCTGGTTTTGGACGTAAGGACTTGATGTATTAAGCTCTTAATGAGAGGTGGGGCTGACCAGGTGCGTGTGATGGGCATACCAAATGGTATGTTACGCGTACGCGGTCAGAGTCCCGACTTCTGGGTTAAGCGGAGTACGCCCCACGTATAGATGAGTACGTCCAACGTACTCGGGTGGGCTGACTCGACTAGGTTGACTCGACTGGGTTGACTCGGATGGGTTGATTCAACTGGTTTATTGACATTGACCTTTGACCAAGTTTGACCTAAGAGTATTTTAGGTAATATGAGTGGTATCTGAGATCAGTCATTATTTGGTGTTTTAGGTGACCAGTTGAGTTGTTATTCGGAGCTGTGTTCTTTCAGATTTCTTTTCAGACTGATAGGTGAGTTTTCCTCACTGTACCTGTGGTTCCTCACTATACCCGTGGTTCGAAGGCACCAATGTCGGCCTACTAGGTTATGTATCCTGATTATAGAATAATACTATGCTAGTATACGTCTGATTAGTAGATCTGCATGGTTATCTGTATTTTCTAGTTCTGTTTTTATGTTTATTTGTTACATATGTCGACATATTGTGATTGGGTTGAGGCGGTCATGCTCTGTGCCTATAAGTAATCCTACAGTTTGGCTTCGTTTGGTCCCTCTGAAATGCATTGGTTTTGTCTGGCGTGCTTTTTTGGGTCATATTCCTACTGTTGTTGCGCTTTCGAGGAGAGGGATTAATTATATCTCATCTTCCTATCAAATGTGCTCGATTGGGATGGATGAGGCGAATCATATTCGGTTAAACTGCCCCGTTGTGCACAATACCCTTGTTTGGATTTTCAGTTGGTGCCACATTCTTTTTCAGAGGTTCTATTCAGTTTTCTGATTTTGTGAACTTTGCGATTTCATGGGGGAATTGTCCAAGAAAAAGAAAAGTCTTTCTTGCTATTTGTTACGGTTTCTTGTTGTGCGGGTGGAAATCGAGAAATGATCTATGGTAAAACAAGATTCATACGATTTCTTCAAAGTTGGCGGATAATATTATTTCTCTTGTTTTTACATGGTTCGAACATAGGGGTAATTTTGATAATTGTAAATGAGAGTTTTGGGTTTGTTCCCCTTTTGACATTTTGTAAGTTGTTTGTTGCTTTTGCCCGACCTTTTCCTTTTTGGCCGTGGTTTTATAATATCTGTCAGTTCCAAAAAAATAAGGTATATTTTTTTAATCTTATATGTTATTTATCAGCTCCCTTATTAAAAACATCTCAACTACTTTTTTAAAGGAGTTAAGCCCCTCATCGATACATACTACCAATAGGCTATGGTTTTTTTTAACAGCTGAATACCTATAAGCTATAGTAAATACATAATATTTTTATATATTTCGACTAAATAATTGAAGTAATTAAATTTTATCAAATAAGTGTGTCATCTACTAATATTTGCATTAGTTATGTAACATAGGTGACAAACGACACGGATAAACCTACAAAATGTAATCAAGAACCACATCGTCTAAAAAAATACCATAAAATAGGAATCTATGTACAGTTGTCAGTCTCTTGTTGTGAAGTGGCAATACGAAGTCACAGACACAAGTTTCGAACAGGTATTTCAGACCGTTATTTCGGATTACAAACTTAATTTTCGTCTCCTACATATATATATATATATATATATATATATATATATATGTGTGTGTGTGTGTGTATGTGTGTGTGTGTGTCCGCATGTACTTAGACCCTTACATCCGATAATTCGTAATTATCTCTTATAACTACTTGAAGATGAGTTTCTCAGATTGTGAGCACAAAGAAAGCTTTAACAACTTGCTTGTTTACCTACACAACCTTAGGTGAACCAACCCACATACTTACACTCACATCAAAACTGATGTGATGGATCGTTTCCAAGCTTGTTTTGTGGCTATTGGATGTGTGGTATATTTTTTTTCCACTTTTCTATTATTTCTTTAAAATTGATAATGTTTCTATATCTAAAATAATTGTTTTGTGTTCCAAAAAAATACAGCTCCATGCACTCATAGACTACTTGTTGCATGTCATCTTCATAGGTAATGTCCGTCTAAGAGGGGACTACCTAAACACAATGTTTGTAGCAGTGACTATGGACGAGAACAACCAGACCCTCCCTACAACATTTGGTCTAGTTGTGGAAAATAATCTCTACTGTTGTACATTGTTCCTTATGAGGTTAAAGGTATCTCGCGGGCGAGGTAGGGAAGTATCGTTCATAACCAATATGCACGATGTTGTTAGTTCTCGCATAGATCATGTATTCCCTGATTCTTATCATGGTTATACTTCTAAAAGTGTGTTCATGTATATGCGCACAAGAGGCATCTCTGGCAGAGCATTGGAACCTTTGTGTCTGGATGACATCCAATTCATATACTGTGTCTGATTTTGAACAAAACTTCTGTCAGCTAACCTATGATGCTCGTGAAGTGCTTGCAAACATCGGTCATGCGAAATAGGCAACAACCTATTTCCCAAACATTCGTTAGAATGTAGTCAACATTGTTGCTCCCCAATTTTTTTGGTGTTATCGGTTAATCAATGCAATGTACTGATAATAACGCTTACCGAGGCAATTCGTGTCTACATTCAACGGACTTTTGTTGAACGCACTTTAATGGGAGGTAAAATATCTGGTGCAATATTAAATTAATTTTCCTTACTTTTTACATGTACAAGAATGTTATTTGATTATATTTACTTTTCATGAAGATTGACTAGTGTACTCACCCTGTATGCAGAAATGGTGTTTCATAAAATGATACACAAGTTTGTTCGGTGGCAAGCAACAAAGATTCCACCAGAGATCCCACCCCCGTTCCCGTCCGACATTTATCGAGTTTTTGATTTTAAAAAAACTTGTGTTGTTTATTTGAACTGTCACATGTTCATGTGGGAAATGACGCAGTCTAGGTATAGTGTGCAGTCATGCTATTACGACATCACGTCATTCGAATATCCATTAATTTGCAGATATGGTCCAACTATATTTTTGGACTAATGTGTTTCAGACTACCTACCAGAAACAAACCGTGCATCCTCTTCCCCCTCCACCTGAATGGGAAATACCAAACCTTTTGATGGCTGTTTTATTGCCTATGTAATTGCAATTAATTATGTGAATTCAGAATGATATTCCAAAAAACAAGCAAACAATACATATTACATATATTAAGTGATAAGTGTTACACAAAACTTAGTTCATAAACATAAATCTTACAACTTGAACACAACAATACCAAAAAAAAAAAAATCCAACTACAAAATAACGCTACCTTTAAGTTCAAATTTTTGGTTTCAAGCTTCTTTTTCGATCGAACTAAGTTACATATTATCAACAAATTATTGTCTTTTGCTTCGTCATCCCAACAGATAAACCCATAGTGTGGTCCCTAAAAATTTAATATCAGACAACGTATATTATGTAAATTAATATTAATTCAAAGTAAAATAAATGAAATGATAACCCATATATATCTTTAGGACAAGCGTAAAATAGTCGTTCAAGGTTATTACTAGTCCTTGATGTCCTTATAATACCTTGTGCGCCATAATTACAGTATGTTATTTGTTTGGTTTATGAGAAATGAATTTTTAGTAGTAAATTTAACAAGATATCGAGTTTGGACGCTTGAATTCAATTATATAATGGCATTTGTAGAGAACACTATGGTCTCATAAGTTGTACTATGTGTAGTCATTCCGAACATTAAACTTGTAACAGATTACTGACATTACGGATTCCGGACTGACATTCCGAACAAGCATTCCGGAGCCACATTCCGAACGTACTATTTCAGACCCTCATTCTGGACATTGCATTCCACCCTTAATATGCAACTAATTATGTTTATAATCGACTTTTGGAGTGATTAATGGAAGATATTATTATTGCCCTAATATTTGTTAGATGTTGCAAAGATAGGAAAAAAATAACAACTACCATAACCTTATTAAACATAAAAATTACAAAATACATGATTTTAAAAATACGGGACATCTTTTAAAATATCCTAAGCATGTTTGTATGAAAAATCAACCCCGTTATTTTTTTGTCTGTATTCCACCATTACACGCTGTAAAATTACTTGTTCATCTTCATCCATCAATTCGTTGTTGACCTTGTGATAAATTTTGATAAAATTCTTCACCTTTGAGCGTATGTCTACAAACTCAGCCTTCACTTCTTCTTCAGTTCGATACCGTGGAACATCTAACTCAAAGTGAAACAAAATTTCCAAGCGTTCCCATTGCGATCTGTACATTAGATGTGGCAGCATGAGTAAAACCAAATTATCATCAGTTATTACCCAAGACTGAACGAGCGTGATCAATCATTCATGTATAGTCAAATTATAGTGGTTCAATCATTCTAAAGGTTTACAATTCTGGAGTTCTAAAGGTTCTATAATTTCAGTCTCTTATTTATAGCGGTTCACGCCAGATTCCGGACTGACATTTCGGAAGTCATATCAATCATTAATGTATAGTCAAATCAATCATATATTTCATAGATTCCTGATGAATATGAGTCATGGACGCATATTCCGGACACACATTCTGAACGTTGCATTCCGCGGACACAAATTTCAGAAATTGCATTTCGGACAATTATTTCGGACATGGCATTTCAGACTATTAATATGTACCTACCATGCATCGTTAACGTAGAAATAAGTTGAGAATGACTTCATCAGAGTTTGATATTTGGCATTGTGAAAAAGAAGTTTGTTATGTTTATTCAGATAATAACCCGTTTCCGGAAGGCCTGGATTTCCCACTACCGGATAAAATGTCTGATGACATTTTCCAAGCTATGAAGGCCGCTAAACAAGCAAACGAAAGAGATTCTGAAACAATTTGGACACTTAATCAACGTGCAGACGATCTGGCAGAACAAGTAAACGAAAAAGAAAAATGGGTTGTTGAAGCTATGAAAAAGGTAAAAGAAGCTAAGAAGTGGATTCAACATGCAAATGTAGAGATTGATAAGCTTCGTGCAGAACAGGATCGCCTAACATATGTTGTTTGAATTAGAGGAGATTTTATTGACTGCAAACAAAATATGTATCATTTACAATTTCCTAATTTGCGGAAACCAATATAAGTATGTATTAGGATTTGTAACAAACTTTGTACTAATGTTAATGAAAACCATTGTCATTTTAGATAACACTATCGTTTCGTTTACATATTTAACTTTGAAAAGTTATTACAATATTAAATTTTTATATTACATTTCCAGGATAACCGGGAACTTGCGTCCGGTGCAAACTAGTGGTGTCTACATGATTTTCAAACAATTCCATGTAGGTTTTTATTAGGCTGAACCCATTATCTGTCAATTAGACTTGATCTTCTATTATTGGAGTTGTCCTACGTGCTTCTTCGATGAGGTCCATTGTGTTCACAAACAGTCGTATATCTCCAGACACGTAATGATGATCATTTGCATATTATACAATGCTAGTTTTCTCCGCTCCTCGGCCGCAGAAGGCGGTAATGAGATTTCCAGTATCACCATTCGTTGTTTCGCACGTTGATAATCACGAATCATTCTAATGTAGTCGTATCAACAAGACGTCGTTGCTCTTCTTCAAGACGTAGTATATCATATTCTATTGACAACTCATCCTCATTGATCGAGCCACTAGATGTTGGAGACTGGAAATTTTTAAATATATTAACATACGCATTAAAACAACTTACATAAATGTATCCAACGATAAAATCAACTTGCTGAAACATAATCATAAATAATATAATGGCATTGCAACTAGTCTATAATAACATATTTGTCTGAACTTGATTTGGTCCCATCTTTTGGAGTTTTATCTGCCTTCAATTTAAACTTTAACATCCTTTTTGATTTCTTTCTTAATTTTATACGTCTCTTTGCTGGGTTATTTTTTTAAATTTATTAATCAACATCCTGGTTTGTTATATGTAAAAACAAAATTTCAACAACATTTTAATACACATTACCATTAAACCAACCATTTTAACAAAATTTCAATCGCTTTTACCTTTATTGGGTGCAATTTTGAAAGCTCATGTAAATGAAATAAAACTTTTTTCATCCATAAAGCCCATTTTTTAACACCGTCCACGCAAACTCATATTTGGACTAATAAGGATTATTAAACAATGTCAGACAAAAATAATAATAATAATAATAATAATAATAATAATAATAATAATAATGGGAAATCTTCAAAAAAGTCCCAAACTTTTGGGAAAAGTTACACTTTTGTCCCAACATTTTTTTTTTGAACAAAAAAACCCAGGAAACCGGGTAAATCGAACATTTCGGCCCTATTTTACCGGTGACCTTCATTTAGCCGGTTAAATTGGCTTATGTGGCAAGGACTTGCTGAGGTGGTTGGTGAGTCATTTAATGGCCTTGTATTAAACTCTAAATATAGTGGAAAACTTCATTCGTGCCCTAGCAGACAACGATTGAAGCAGGAGCAGTGGAGGACCAAGACAAATGTCTTCTTCGTCTTCTTCATCTTCAATGAATCGTCTCAGAAAGAGGTGCTACTATGGTGATCCTGTAGGAAGATGGACTTCATGGACTCCATTAAACCCAGGAAGAAGGTTTATAGGATGCCCAAATTACCAGAATGGACTCAAAGATTGCAAGTACTTTCGTTGGGTGGATCCTCCTCTACCAAGCCAGTGGTATGCAGATCTGTTATTAGTATTACACAACAATGTCAATTTGGAGAACCATCGAATATTTGGGGAGTTTGGGCAAGAACAACCAGCTGGGAACTTTTTTGGAGACGTTGTGGAACAACCAATGGCTCAACAACCAATTGCACAACAAGCAGTGGAAGGAGGAAGATGGAAATCATTGTTTTATGTCTCTGTGGTTTCTTTTGTGTTTTTGTTGGTTATGTTGATGGATTGGTAGGATAGAAAGTTGTTTAATGTATTTTGGTTGTGTTTCTTTTGGTTATGACTAAGGGTTGTTAGTTTACTATGAATGTAGTATCTTGTTACTCATATGATTATGAATGAAGTATCTAGTTTATGTATGAACTTTAAATTTGTTGATTGTAATCAATGAATGGAATCAAAGTATGACTGTAATAAGTTAATAATGGACTTAATACACAAACGAATCAATACATAATGGAGTCAATCATGCATAACCGGAATCATGCATGACTGGAATCATGCATGACCGGAATCATGCATAACTAGATATGGCTTTAAATCTTGACAGGTATGGCTTTCAAGAATGGATGGCCACATTCATGGGAAGATTTTGAAGGTTTAGTGTCTGAAATGACCATTTTACCCTTACATTCCAACAAACAATTTACTCAATGTACATCAATTTTAACATAAGAGCATTATGGAGGCAATTAAAAGAAAAGGGAAAATAAAATAAAACATGTAGTAATATTAACCAAAGCCAAACAAGTTTAACATAAGAGGACCGGAATCATGCATGACCGGAATCATGCATAACTAGTATCCATATAAGCAAACATTGTATGCACAAGTAATGTATGCATGACTGGAATCTATAAAACAAGGAATCAATATAACCAAAGGGAACATAAACATTGTTAATCATAGAACATGTAGTAATATTAACCAAAGCCAAACAAGTTTTATGGCAAGTTGTGTAAATGCCCAAAAACTTGATCAAGGGGCCCAAAGCCTATAGTTTATATGGATGTAAACAAAAGGGGCTATCAACAAAAGAGGCTATCATCAGTAGAGGCTTATCAACAAAAAGGGCTATCAACATTTGCTCAAACCCAAAAGTTTTATACATGTTCTTAACAAAAGTAGGGATTAGAAACACCCTAATCTAGACTAAGGGGGTTGGATGAACTCATCCCCTTTCCATTCTTGACAGCTACCACCTTTTGCAACTTAATCTCTGTTATCCTTTCCGAAGGCTTCCTCCTCCTGACTTGATTCACTTTGCTCCTCTTTGTAGTCCTCCTTCTGACTTGATTCAATTGTTGTGTGATAGGTATTTCTCTCTCACCATCCATCCTTTCCTCATTCATCATTACCTCACCCATCCCTGGATCATCTATGCCATCCTCCTCATTCATCCTTTCCTCATCTCCAAGTACTTGATTTGTAGGGAGTTCTTCAACTGTTATTTGGCTAGCAATTCCAACATCCTGTAACAAGCATAACAAAAAGGCCAGTTAGCAAGATTTAACATCACAAAATGAATAATGAGATAGAAAGCATACTTGTGACATAGCAACATCCACATCTTCAATTTGTTGTACTTCTGCTTCACTCAATCCAAGACCTTCCATTTGTTGTACTTCTGCTTCACTCAATCCAAGACCTTCAATTTGTTGTAATTTTGCTTCACTGAGTCCAAGACAGTCCATGATCTCTTCTGTAGTGTATAAAGATTTCCTTAGGTTGTCAATTGTTAAGCTTATATGATTGTGAAAATCTGGACTTGCATCATTTTCACTCTCAACAGTTGGAATGGCAACAAGTTCAGGCTCACATTTAGGAAACTCAGAAGTACCCTCCCCATATTCTGTTTGGACTCCTTCACTAGATCCCCTACCACCACCTCTATTGCCTCTTCCACTAGATCCCCTACCACCACCTCTACTCCTTCCTCAACCAACCCTTCCACCACCTCTAGACCCTGTTTTAGTTCCTGACCAATTAAGCAAATCAGGTTCCAACCTAGGCCTGCCCATTTTTTTCATATAAGATAGAACATAAGATGCAAACACATAAGATAGAACATGTAAAAACAAAACAATTGAGAATACTTACTTAATGTCTTCTCCAAATTCTTCCATCTTTGTTATCGCGGAAGGACAAACTTCACCAACCCAGTTTTTAGCCTCTTGTTTCAGATTGAAAGCCCTTTCCATCATGTAAAGCCTAATCTCTTCAAGCATAGTCAGCAAAGGTTTCTTTCTTGCGTCTACAATGATTGCATTGAAACACTCAGCAATCACATTCTCTACAGCCTCACAAGCCAAGCCAGTAGAGAAATAAGCCTTGCACCATGAAGTTGGTTCCCTTGCCATGAGATGATCATAAGCAGCAGAACTTATTGCCCTAATCCTTTCCATATTAAACTTGAAATCTCCTTCTGTGGTAGATTTTGCAGCTGCCCAAAACATGTTTCTGAACTGCACTCCACTATAAACTTTTCTGAAATTGGCATAGATATGCCTTGCACATTGCCTGTGCTCAACATATGGTAGAATATCCTTACTAGCTTCAACAAGACCCTATAACATGAAAAAAAAAGTTAATTAGCAACACCATACACTATTGTAAATAATGAAAAATAAAGAGATAGTTACTTTACCTTGTGTTGGTCACTGATTACACACACACCCTTTCCACCCTGCAATCCAAGATCATCATTAACCAAATCCAGGAACCATTTCCAGTTGTTCTTGTTCTCTACATCAACAACTACCCAAGCTATAGGATACACCTGATTATTGGCATCCCTACCTATTGCAGTTAACAATTCACCCTTACATTGTCCCTTCAAAAAAGAACCATCCAATCCTATTACCCTACGACATGCCCTTTTCCACCCCTCTCTTATTGCTTTAAAGCAAATGTAGAATCTATGAAATGTTGTGGTATTATCAAGGTTTACAGTAACTGTAATCCTAACTGTGCTGTCTGGATTGGATCTCAGTAGCTCATGCCCATAATCCCAAACTCTTGCATAGTGGTCACTCAAATTCCCATGAATTAATGACAGTGCCCTCATCCTTGATCTATAACACTTTGACCATGAAATTTTGCAATGAAATTTACTTTGTATAATTACCTGCATCTCTTTGCATTTTAAATTAGGTTTCCTAATCAACTCCTTCACAAATTTCCTAGCTAACCAGGTAGGATCCATAAGCCTTGAATTGTTAAAATTCCTAACACATTTATGAATGTCTATCATCTTTTTGACTTGGAAAGACCTTTCAATACTCATCCAAGAAGCCCTAACCACAAATGGACACTTCTCTGGATCACTTCCACATATTGCCACTAGTCTAACACTATCACATTTTTTGAAACGGATTTGAAAACCCTTACTAACAGCATAGTTGGTCAAACACAATTTCAGTTCATGTGGGGATTCATACCTTTCACCAAGCATTGGTCTCATTTTGTTCCATTTCACCTTTGGATTGTGGGTGGAATACTCAAATTCCTCATCACTACCTTCCTCGTTACTACCTTCCAGATAATCTTCATCTGATTCTTCTTTAGTGATTCCAGTTTGAGCATCGTTTCCAGTTTGAGCATCATTTTCAGTTTGAGCATCATCTACTGCCTCGTAATCGTCTTCTTCACATAGAATATTGAGAAATTCGTCTTTGCATCTGGAAGCTTGTTTCTTTTTGAAGTACGCATCCATCTCCACATCTATTGTATCAAAATCATGGATGTCATCCATGATTTCAACTGCACGGTGGTAAAAAACCCTAGTTTACTGAGGGGGAGGTGAGAAAGTGAAATGAGAGAGGTAAGTTGTATTGTGTATGTATGTGTGTAAATGAGATCGATTAAACCCACGTAAGCAAGTCCTTGCCACATAAGCCAATTTAACCGGCTAAATGAGGGTTGCCGGTAAAATAGGGCCAAAATGTTCGATTTACCCGGTTTCCTGGGTTTTTTTGTTCAAAAAAAAATGTTGGGACAAAAGTGTAACTTTTCCCAAAAGTTTGGGATTTTTTTGAAGATTTCCCTAATAATAATAATAATAATAATAATAATAATAATAATAATAATAATCAATTCTTATTCTGGAACATCATTTTGGACCAAGTTCTTTGTATTCCAGAACATCATTTTGGACCAAGATCTTCGTATTCCAGACCTACAAAGTCTTTCCGGATTCCCTAGAAAACATACTTCCGGACTAAAAAAAACGGTCCTAAACACACTATAAGATACTTACATGCACCTCATACAGGTACAAAAAAAAAACATACAAATTTTGGATATTTCAGACTCATTCTTCGTACTCCGGAGTGTTCATCACATTCTAGAATACGTCTATTTGTTTGAAAACTCAAATGTAAGTAATTTAAAGAGTAGAACTCACTTGGTTTGATGAATCCATGCTAAAAATAAGTTCGACATGCAGGTAAAATGAACTTCAAAAATCGAGAATCTGGAACACATATTCTGGATTTTTGGGGTGTCAATTTATGACACGACACGACAAAAATACACGAAACGAAACGAAATTGGGACGAAATCAAAATTTAAATTCGTGTTCGTGTCAAGATTAAAAAACACGATGTCGTGTCGTGTTCGTGTTCATAAATCGACACAAAATTGACACGATTAAGCATGTGGTTGTCGTGTTTTTCATGTTTGTCGTTTTTGTCGTGTTATATATCTTTAAGTATGAATGAAATAAATTAATAGTTATGTAATATTATCTTTGTCGTGTCGTGTCGTGTTGTCGTGTTTTAATTGGTTCGTTTTCGTGTTAATGAAAAAAAACACGACGTCGTGTCGTGTCGTGTTCGTGTTATACAAAACCTTGTCGTGTCGTGTCGTGTCAAACAAAAACACGACACGACTGCCCGATTTGACAGCCCTAGACTGTGGACCCATATATATAACATTTGGCTACAGCATTGGGCTTGTGTCATGTATCTTGGTCCGGAATGACCCATTTCTGACATATTGATCATTTTAAAAAAAAGTGATTATTATTATTAAAATAACATTAAAAAATGATTAGCTACTCAATTTCCCATAATAAAAATGAAAATTACAAAAAAACAAAAAAAGTAATCTAATCATTTTATCGATTAAATCACCCAATATTGTTTTTAGTCATTAAACTGTCAAATTAAAATTTTCTTATTTGTAAATGCAAAAATATAAAAGTATAATATATAATCATTAATAGACAGTTAGACCATCCGTTATGGTCTTCACGGCCACAGCCTCCATCCAACTCCACGTCATCATCATCGTCTTCCTCAACCTAGCCGGGATGGTGCTCAACAACGACTTCCTCGTGGTCTGCAAGAGAGAAGAAGACAGGAACAGAGAAGAAGAGAGGAGAAGATAGAAGAAGAGAGGAGACGAGAGACCTGATTGGTCGTCCACCTCCGTCGTCCCCAACACGAACCACCACGACCACGAGCCACGACGAGACACTGGGATGGTGTGCACGATCGTGGTTCGTGGCCAGCTAGACCACGAAGGCCATCGTCCTGGGTATACCGGACGGCCTTACAACGCCAAATGAATAGATAAAATAAAAATACATTTTTGTTTTTTAATAGTATTTTATACATTTAAATACATGTAAAAGAAAAAATAAATTAAACATTTATACAAGGTGGTCCATGCTGAAAACGAAGCCGCTTTCTGCTGACAATCTTTGTCTGCAGTTGGCATAGTGAGTGAAGCACTAAAGCCCTGTTTATAGCTTCTAACTTGCAAATATTTCTGATCATGTCTCCAACACTTATTACATACATACATACATAATTACATACATACTATTTGTTGATCAACTTTAAACTGTTTCCAGTAATTTCTTTTTATTTGAATCTATGATAATATATATTGTATCATTCTGTAGGAAGTTAAGATAGTTTATAACCAAAAATTAGATTCAAAATAGAATATTCATATACATCTCGAGTTGTTTAGCAAGTGTGTGTTACTTTATTATTATTATTATTATATTTATTATTATTATTATATTGTATTAAAGTGCTTGCCTTCCTGTAACCATGAACTCATTCGTCTTTTTAATAATAAAAACAGACTTTTTTTTCTTTCAATTTTGGATATATATCATGTGGTGAATATTATGAGGTTAAACAATCAAGTGCCCTTTTGAATTTGAGCAATGAGGTTGGATGGATCATGTCTTCTTGTGGACAAATTATTGGTGCATATCTGGCCTTTATTCCTTCTTATAAATTATGTATCACATAAAATAATAACACCTTTTTATCTATAAATAATCATTTTTCCAATCCCCTAAGTTAAGTATGTAAAAGTATGAATATGTAGGCCCTCTTCATATTGGTTGTAACAAAAATAATAATGAAATAGCTTCATGGTTCCAATCGAGTATTGAGTATGTAAAAGTATGAATATGTAGGCCCTCTTCATATTGGTTGTAACAAAAATAATAATGAAATAGCTTCATGGTTCCAATCGAGTATTGAGTATCGAGAGTTCGAGATTAGAGGTGTACACAAGAACCGGTTCTTTTAGAAACCCGGGCCGGTTTTATTGAAAATCGGTTTTTTAAGAACCGGTTAATTGAAAAACCAAACCATTGGTTAGGAATAGTTATTTTTTTCTTTTTAAATATGAAACCGATTTTTCTAAGAAACCGGAACCAAACCGGTGTTTTAGCGCAACTTCACACATAAAAACACTAAAAATTATAACTGAAACCAACCTAGATAAACTCAATTATTTAAAAACCAGTTTTTAGGGAAAAAAAAGACGGCATTTGTGCACCTGTCTTTAAGATTGAGACTACCATTGGCTTTGTTTACACAAAATGGTTTAAGCCCATTGGGTTGTGCTCTCTCTTTAAGATTGAGACTACCATTGGCTTTGCTTACACAAAATAGTTTAAGCCCATTGGCTTAAGCTATACTTTACAAGAATATAGAAGGGCTAATTACACTCTTGGTTTTCATTGTTGTAGTTTGTATGGCCCAACAATTGTTACCATGTTTACACTCTTGACTAGACCTTCACATTTACGGTTTCGGATGGTCTTGGGTCAGTCTCGAAACGATCCAGTTTTTTACGGTCGGTCTTGGAGTGGTCCGGTCTTTTTTTGGATCGGTCCGTCCAGTCTTAAGACGGTCTTTTTTCGGTCCACTCTTGTGGTCTTTCCGTGCACTTTTTTCGGTCCAGTCTCGTGGTCTTTTTTGGTCGGCTTTCACGTTTTTTCGGCATGGTTTCAGTATTTTTTGGTTTGTTTAGTTTCAGTTTCAAGTTTTTCCCTTAACAAATGTGTGATTAACACAAAGATGATAGATTAAACTTTATTAAAAATGATAAACTAAAGTTTAATAAAAGAAAAAAAGAAATGAAGTTAGATACTATGTGATTAAAATTTGTGTAATTAACACAAAAATGATATATTTATAAATTTTGGCTTCCGGTCTTTTTTGAGATCGGTCTCAGACCGGTCTCGGGTCGGTCTCGGACCGGTCTTGTGTCGGTCCTGGAACGGTCCGGTCTTTTTTGGGATTGGTCTAAGAATGGTCCAGAAAAAAGTTTTTCTCAGGCCGGTCTTGGACGGTTTCGAGCTGGAATTTTTTCGGTCGGGTCTTTTTTTGGTTCAGTCTGTTTTAGACAGGTCCGATCTCGGTCTTTTTTCGGGTTCAGTCTGAAACTAGTCTTTTGTGCAGGTCTACTCTAGACTCTAGAGGTGAGCAAAATGATGGGTTTCGGGAATCCAAGTTTTATCCGAGTTTTTTAAATTATTATTCATATAAGGTGTTAGGTGCATAAATTGCATCTTTTTCTTTACTTATTTCATGGTTAATTCTTAGGACAACTGTTCCAAAAAAACGCAAAATATTGATGGCCATCATTTACGGTTATTTGTGGTGCGTTTGGAAAGCGAGGAATAACAGTCTTTTCAGCAAAATTCGTGTTTCTTCTTTGAAACCGGCGGACAGTGTGCTCTTGGTGCTGTTTGGTTGGATTAAACATAGGGGGAAGTTCGGGGTTTGTAATTAGGAGAATTGGGTTTGTTCTCCCTTTAAAATCTTGTAACTTTGTATGTTTTGTTCTTTCTTTTCCCCGACCTTTTTCCAGTTTAGGCTGTGGTATTTAATAAAATTTTGTCGTTTCCATAAAATATTTCATGTTTAATTCAAGCATTACATAGCATATTAGTTTAATTTTGCATGCATTTTTGCATTTTTGGGACATTTTCTAGGATCAATTTAATTTTGATAGTTTTTGTGGATGTTTCAAGGGCATTAGAGACTTTGGGCATGCTTAGGATGATGAAGGAAAGCTCTCTTCAAAGTTTCAGAATTTTTGGAACAAGATTGAAGAAAACGAGATTTTTGGAATTGGACACTTTAACTTAGTGAGTGGAGCACTAAAGCCCTATTTATAGCTACTAACTTGCAAATATTTTTTATAAGAGGAGTAAGATAATATGATGTTTAATAATCTAAATACGTTCAATCTCACATAATAATTATCATTTACACATTCTCACTAATTAAATCGACTATAAGGGTAGTATGATTTTTTTTAAATGATAATCAGTATGTCAGAATGTGTTATTGATAAGTGTATTTTGTAAAAATGAGAATGAGTGAATATGTAATTCGTGAAAATACATGATAATGCCAATAGTTGGTACTATTGTATTAAACAATTTCTTGTATTTTATACATTTTGTTTTCAACATTATATTCGTTTTCA